AATTTGAGTTGAATTACTGAAATAAATGAACTTTTCCACAACATTCTAATTTATTGAGATGCACCTGTAATTGTGCGTCGCAAGAATGCGCAGAATATGCGTTCTGTGAGAATGGCTTGGTTTCGGTTTGAACCTAAACAATATCTTCTCCGCTTCGAGCTTCTATATTTCTCTAATATTTTGAATATAAAACGCACACCTAAAATTAAAATGCACCGGTTTTGCATTTGAATGTGAATTTTTATTTTAAATTCGACTAATATTCCTTTTTTTGATTCACAGTCTCCTCTTCGCAGACAGGCACGGCACTCATTTCAGCGTGTTTGTGTGTGCCGTCTGCTTGTCACTCATAACACACGCCTTTAAATGAAACGAGCATGAAACTATCCTGCGCTATATCGAACGGTTTTTCCGGTGATTATCGATGAAGGTGTACGGTACCGTCGATAAATACCAATACCGTTTTATCGCCCAGGCCTATGTTCGACTGTTATTTCAGCTGCTTCGGTGGTTTTCAGTCCCGTGTGATCCAGACTAACCTGTTCAGGCTCCACATGACAGAACATGGATATCTTCTCTTTCACCGAGTTTTCAAGTGGAGTGGAGCAACGACACATAATCTGCAAGAGAAAGAGCAAAAGACGACTCAGAACTCTGATCGCAGGAACCAACACAGGTGTGGCTCATCACATTAAATATGGACATGATCCACTAATGCTTAACAACCAGAAAGTACCACAATTCTTTGTCGTCATTTTGAACAATATTTATTAGAGCTGTCAAACGATTAATCGCATCCAAAATAAAAGTTTTTGTTTACATATGTGTGTGTGTACGGTGTATATTTATTATGCATATAATATAAATACACATGCATAAATACACACACACACACACACACGCATGTATATATTTAAGAAAGATATGTTGTTTACATATTAAATATATTTATATGATATAATTTATATGAATATAAATATATACATGTAAATATTTTCAAAATATATGCTGTATGTGTGTGTATTTATATATGCATAATAAATATGCACAGTACATGCATATATTATGCAAACAAAAACTTTTATTTTGGATGCGATTAATCGTTTGGCAGCACTTATATTTATATTTGTCTACCATTTGAAACCTAATAAACTTACCTTGAAAAGTTGTGGCTGAAGTGTATTATTTCTATAAAATAAATATGACATGGTTTTGTGTGTTTTTTTAATAATACGACAGTCTTTTTTAGGTGTTGCATGAGTATCTAAATATGTTTTAGACAAATATTTAACAGGGTAAGTGACATAAGTAGGCTAAATATCTGTAACTTTTAACTGCACAGAACTCATATTCCTTGCTCACACACAAAAACTTGAAAATGATCGAAAATACGCATTGAATGTTACAAAAAAGCTGCTTTGATGGCTTTAGATGTGCTGGAAGCATCCATTTGGACGCTCGACCTCTCCGAGAGGGTCTTAGCAAGCCGACACAGTTACTAAAACACACTCTGAGGAGTCCTCTAGATTCCTGAACACACACTGAAATTGCATGCAGAAATTCTGAGTGCAGCTTGACTCACCAGGTCAGGTGACAGTCCCAGTCCTCTGAGCTCTCTCACACTGTTCTGCGTGGGTTTGGTCTTCTGCTCTCCTGTAGCGCTGGGCTGGACATCACAGGCGAGACCGTATGTCACTCATGTGATATAATGCTCTATAATGCACTGTTCTGTGTGCGCCGACGAGAAAGCATATAATCCTCACCTGTGGTACCAGACTGACGTGAATATTGCAGAAATTCTCTCTCTTCACTTTAAACTGGAACTGTCTGAAGGCTTCGATGAAGGGCATGCTCTCTATATCTCCGACTGTACCGCCCAACTGCAAGCACATCAAAACCTCAGACACCTGTTCAAACATGCATCCTATCAAATGCTGTGTCCAGCTCTTGTCTCACCTCGATGACGCAGACCTGGGGCTCAACGCCATCGTCGTCTACGGGAACTTGAGCTTGATGCATCACCCACTCCTGAATAGCATCAGTTATGTGTGGCACCACTGGGACAAATGAACATACAATGAAACAGACACACCAACTTCTCTTTCCAACACAGCATGATTTATCCATTTAAAAGACTCTCGTTTACGGTCTACAGTGTGTGACATGCTGTTGATTTCCACAGAAAATGATTTTGACTCGTACGGTCACTCACTAACGATTATTTTGGTAATCTGGCAATTGTGTGGTAATAAAAGCAAACAATAGCTTTTAAAATGACTTAAAATACATATATGTGACCCTGGACCACAAAAGCAGTCTTAAGTCGCTGGGGTATATTTGTAGCAATAGCCAAAAATACATTGTATGGGTCAAAATTATTGATTTTTCTTTTCAAGATCATGTTCCATGAAGATATTTTGTAAATGTTCTACTGTAAATATATCAAAACTTAATTTTTGCTTAGTAATATGCATTGCTAAGAACTTAATTTGGACAACTTTAAAGATGATTTTCTCAATATTTAGATTTTTTTGCACTCTCAGATTCCAGATTTTCAAATAGTTGTATCTCAGCCAAATATTGTCCGATCATAACAAACCATACATCAATGGAAAGCTTATTTATTCAGCTTTCAAATGATGCATAAATCTCAATTTCGGAAAAAAGGCCCTTATGACTGGTTTTGTGGTCCAGGGTCACATATAATAGCAATGAGGCAATAATAATTAGTTCAAATAAAGTATCAAAAGCCAGTAATAATATGATTTACAAAACTGGTAAAACGCTGATTATAAAACAGATAGTTCCGGTCCTTGATTCTGATTGGCTGAGCTGCGTTCGAAGCTGTTGTATATTACTCTACAAACATACACCTTTGTTTACTTCTGTGTGTTGCTCGACAACCACTTTGTTGGAACCACAACTGTTTCTGAGGAACTACGTTGTTTGGTGGAAGAATACAGTTTTTATTTATATCTTTACACTTTATTTGCTCTGTTTTATTCTGTGAAACCTTTCTACGTATATGGAATAACCATTTTATAAAAGCAATAAGCCCCGTGAAGCCACACAATGAATTTATAACGGCTAAAGGGGTTTTAGTCACTCCGCTTCGCGTCGTACCTAACAACGCCCCTTAGCTGTTATAAATTCGCGGAGTGACTAAAACCCTTTAGCTGTTATAAATTCACTGTAAACCACGGCTTCACGGGGCTTATTGCTTTAATGTATTATAAACAATAGAGCTAATGTACATTGCACATTATGACGACCTGCCGATTGTTTTAACACTTCACTGCGCGATCTAATTCTTGTTTAATATTGACTAAACGACATTTCATTCAAATATCCAAATAATCTTTAATATTTGGCCATTTCCTTACGACAGAAATGCTACAGCCACTGCAATTTCTTGCATATGTGGACATCAAAACGTGCAACTCAGAGCCCGGGTTTGAGCTTTTATTTTGAAATTGCGATGAGCAGTAGCACGTTTCGAAAGATATTGATGTTTTCTCCTGTGCTTGCGTAGGTTTATAAATGACTTATCTTACAAATCTGATGAAATGGTGCACGCTGCATCCCCAGATCAACGCTATAATAAACCCAAAACTCACAACACGCATGCAGAGACGGAGTTTGAGATGCTCCACACATGTAAATGATAACGTTTGTGCGGAGCGGCATTTACTGTGAACGGAGACACTCTGAGACGCATGCATGTAAATAATTACAGCGCACATATTAATCCTGCATCATAGCGTTTGTGATTTCACAACAGCATTATGCTTTATTATGATTTTAAAATGGGTTTAATATATCATGCAGCCTTGGAAAACGGTCTAATGCGCTTCATGGATTCTCGACCGTGGAATGCACCAGTTTTGCCGGTTACTCGACACGGGCAAAATGCAATCGAGGATTGAATTGAATCGAGGAATCGTGACAGCCCTAACTTACAGTGAGCGTCTATGGGGCAGACATGGACAGGAACTTCAATAAACATTAAGGGTGTATACACACTTGGCAGGTTTGGTTCGTTAGTGTGACTTTACAGCGTGTTTCCAGCTACTTTCATGTGAAAATGTTCATGTATGCGCACAACGGAGGACTTCCCGGCACGGTTTTATCTTCTTTACACACTTTATAAGCTCTTTGAGAGTTTTCAGCTGGTAAAAATGCTATTTGCTGGCATTTAGCCTCACAGCATTGTTTTGGATGTTCTGCAAATATACACCATAAAAGCCGTCCAATCAGGTTGTGTCCTTGTGCCTTTTGGTTTGCATCTGTATATTTGGTGTATTAATAATTACAGTGTGATAAATAGGCTATATCACTTTCCAACTTCGAGTGTGAACTCACCCTAAACTAGGCCATTGTGAAAGTGCATAAGACCGCCGTCTCACCCTGTACGGTTTTGCCCAGGTAATCTCCCCTGCGCTCTTTGTTGATGACGGACTGGTAGATTTTTCCGGTGGTCAGGTTGTTGTCTTTGGTGAGCCTGATGTCCAGAAAACGCTCATAGTTGCCCAGATCCAAATCCACCTCTCCCCCATCATCCAAAACAAACACCTCACCTACACAAAATACAACACATTCATATAAAGACCACAGAGCTCTACGACCATCACCCGTATTAATAACAAAGATGTCTTAAACTCTATATCTCAAGATAGATTTATACACGTTCTCGAGTAGTGAGTGGTTGTGATGCTAAGGAGTTGTTTTGTAGCTACGAGGTTGCTTCTGAGGGGTTTGGGCATGCTCCGAAGCTATTAGGGTGTATTGGGCGATTGCTAGGTGGTTGCTCGTTTTTTCCAAGTGGCTGTTTAGCATGTTGCTGTGTTTTCTCAGGGTGGTCTACATGGTTGGTTGTCCACCCCAAAGTCTCTAGGATATACTGGTCTCTAGACTTCTAGAATTTTTATCAATTGAAATGTAATCAGATTTCAGATTTTGTCTGCAATTTGACCCAATCATTTATATGTGGATTACATCTATTCTAAAACAATTAAAATGGACATTTTTGAACAGTAAGATTTTAAATGTTTTTTAAAGAAGTCTCTTCTGCTCATTAAGCCTGCATTTATTTGATCCAAAAATACAGCAAAAGCAGTTATATTGTGAAATATTTTTACTATTTAAAATAACTGCTTTCTATTTGAATATATATTAAAATGTAATTTATTGCTGTGATCAAAGCTGCATTTTCAGCATCATTACTCCAGTATAAAGTGTCACATGATCCTTCAGAAATCATTATAATATGCTGATTTGCTGCTTGTGTAACATTATACATATATTATATACACATGTATAAATATTTTATTTGGGGGGGGGTTATAGAAATTAATAGTTTTATTTAGCAAGGATGCTTTAAATTGATCAAAAGTGATGATAAAAATATTTATAATGTTACAAAATTTTATTTTCAGATAAATGCTGTTCTTCTGAACTTTTTATTCATCAAAGAAACCTGAAAAAATTATACTCGGCTGTTTTCAACAATAATAAATGTGTCTTGAGCAGCAAATCAGCATATCAGAGTGATTTCTGGATCATGTGACACTGAAGACTGGAGTAATGATGCTGTAAATACAGCTTTGATCACAGCAATAAATTACATTTGAACAGATATTCACATAGAAAACTCCTTTTAAACAGTAAAAGTATTTCGCAATATTACTGCTTTTGCTGTATTTGGGATCAAATAAATGCAGGCTTTGGTGAGCAGAAGAGACTGCTTTAAAAAACATTTAAAAATGTTACATTTCCAAAACTTTTGAGATAATTGCCTAGTTTATAATAATAATAATAATAATAATAATAGTGATGCTTGCATTTAGCAAACAGCTTCTTTTGTGGCAAGTTATAATCATTTGCTGTGCACTTAAGATTTGTAGATTTAAAATGAGTACTCATCTTATTTGATCTGCACGACACTGTAACACTGACCTGTAATGATTGATATCAGACGTGGGTGGATCTAATCTATGACGAGTGGTGTGGGGTTACCGTGCTCGTATGGCGAGAAGGTCCCTGCATCGATGTTGATGTAGGGGTCGATCTTGATGGCTGTGACGCGTAGGCCGCAGGACTTGAGGATGGTTCCCACGCTGCTGGCTATAATGCCTTTCCCGATGCCCGAGATCACGCCGCCCGTCACCAGAATATACTTCATTCTGCCAATCACACGCTGGACAAACGAAAACACAGGATTTATTTTATATGACAGTTCATTAAATGCGGGCTGCACAATTTAAGGGAGCATTGACTTGTGTTGTTTCTTGTTAAAAAGCAGATTCCGTCATCATCTAACAAGTGCAATCTCACTCAAGCCAAACTCTGTCTGATGAGCAAACACTTCTTGAAGTGCTGTGAAAGCCTTTGACTGGATATCAAATCAATGATCTATGGGTTTCCCTGTTCTCTATTAATACCTGAGAACACACCACTTTCATTAATCATCAAATATCATATAAAGCCAGAGGTTTACAGCAAATCACACTGCAGATGAGCAAATAAAGCTGATCAGAGACTCGTGCATTGAAAGGAAATACACATTTTTACAGCTGATCGTTTCCATGAGGAAAATATCATGCTATCCTTGGCAAAAGTGTTAAGCATAACCATAGTTTCCGCCAAAATGCTCTAGTTACTTACTACAGCCATTACTTCTAAAAATATTAAATATTAACAATTTATCAATTACCATCAGAAAGCTTTCGATCATGCGGTTTTGTTAATTTATTATTTGATGATAATGTTCGTTATTATACCAA